TAAGAGTATATTTTGAGACATATTTGCTACAGATAGAATCATGTTTCATGACATTAAATTCTACGAATTAGGAATTAAAATTGCCTTATAACGAAATTTACTCGATACTATTGAACTTTGATTCATCAAGAGCTGGCTTACTACTCGAGTTTAATAGAAACAATAAGAATTATAGAACATCTTGTCATAAAGTTATTTAATGCTTAGAAATAACCTTACTTTTGTTAGATACGACATATTGTGCTTGAAAAATGTTGGTGATGGCATATACCCATTTATAGTCATGCTTTGCTTAGTATCCTCATTTCAAGTAGACTTCGCTGATTTTTAAAACTCTACCCATTTTAATTTACTGATTTTAACGCAATGTAGCTATAACTTTGATATAAACTTTAGAAATTTATAGATTAGTCTTGTAAGGGACTGGTGGTTACTATGGCCTCTTGACAATGGGATATATTCGATGTTTTAGAGTCCATTTGCTGGCAGATAGCGAGGACAGGCAGACTCTAATAAAGTCGCGGTTGTTTTCTCTCTCCTGACCTTGATATTTTCGTATCTGATAAATTTAATTTGCTGCTATTTAAAGATTCCACAAGCAAGTTATACATACCAATAAAGTCTATTTTCAAAAGATTGTACGGTGTAAATTTACCTTTAAAATTTCTAGAGAAATTATGCAGAAAATACACGCACATTAAATCTAAAGAAAGAATTATCATGACTCAATAACCATCTTATAACAGCAATACATTCAATCGAGATTAATTTAAAAGTCGCAGTTTAGTTCAAAAGAATAGTTTTAAAAGGTAGAATTAGCTCTCGAACAAATTTTTAGCAAACTTCATTTGTCCTAGCTTCACAGAGCTGTCAATAACATCAAAAAAACTGTTAAACTAGATGAGCTAATCACGATATCTTTACGTATTTTAATATAAACTTCAGATAGTAACTAAATGCAGCTCCTTTACAGAGTTATTCATTAGTCTATTTCTACTCTCAGATTAAATAGCAATAGAATGTCAGGATTATGCATATAGCGACCAGATGTGTAGAACAAGGCTTTAATGGTGAAGATATCATATTACAGGTAATTACTACCAAATTAAAATTAATTTCCAAACTTAATTAATAATCATAATATTGTTAATCTCAACATAAGCCAGAGCCAGAATTCCTTAATGAGCACTATCTGATCTTTTAACAGTTTCATAAATCGTAAATTAACAATTTTCTATCAAGCAGATTAACTTTCTTTATGGTATCAATGTTAGGCATTATTAATAAATAAGGCCTCGTACGCCAGAATGCGAGCGATAGTAAATTAATTTCCCGCCCGCTATTTGTTTTGATTATTCCTACAGAAGACCTGGTAGAGAAATATGAATATCAAGCTTTAAGGAAGTTAGTCAGGATTACCGTCATGACTGGAATTTAATTATATTTAATAATTTCCAGATTTACTATCGTGAATAGCTTACATGTGAAGCTGCTGATGAAATTATAACTTACTAAGATTCATTCGCGCGTATTATCTCTCACTATCGCTAACCTATCATAAGCTTGATTAATACGATACTTGAAGAAAATTATTATCTTTTCGGAATCATTAATTATCATCTATGAGGAATTAAGAAGTTTTGGAGTTAATCTTATATATTAAAAATATCGTGCTACACATAGAATTTTTTTAAGTTTTGTTGTCTAGATCAATACGAACATTAAAATGTAATGTTACTGCATGATATTTAAATTTAATAATAGTTTTGGCCTTACATCACTATATGAATTTGAAATGATAAGCATAAAAGAACACATAACATCACCGCTAATCTTACAAGGTTCTTCAGACTGTTGTTATGCAGAAAACAATGCTGGACATAAATTAAAGCGAATAAAGATCGCCTTGTCATTTAACAATTATTCTATCGTCTTAGCCATCTATTATAGCTCAATGTGTTTGTAATAAAGCAATAAAGTCTCTAATAGACATTTATAGAAATTATTGTGTCTTTGACATCATATCTGTCCTTCCATTTACCAAGTTTGTGTGCAAAAAAAGATCGAAGACTGCCGATGGAAATGACGCAATTATTATAAAGCAAGGTATATTTGCGATCGTTTTATCACTTTCTTGTGCTCCCATTATGCATAATTATTAATCATTCATTATTATGGTTGAATATTCTAAGATATCATTATCGGCACTTTTAATAGTAGCTGTCATATTATTATTAATCTTAGCTAACAAAAACTAGAAAATATTACTGCAGCAATTGTTTACTAAGCTATAGAAATCGTGAAACAAATCATTCCTATCAACTGTGCTTCTAGACAATAATGAATAAGTAGATACTTTGCTATTTATAATGCATTTCCAGTAAAATAAGTTAATAAATATCTCGTTCCAGTATTTTTAGAATATTATAATAAACCAGTCAGGGCAGCTCTTGAATAGCCTTATAGCCCAATAACAGAAAGATGAAATATTACTGAGCTAAAATCTTGAGTGTGCTATAACAGATACCTACAGATTATAATAATTATCTGCCATAATATACACTCGCATATTTAATCACTATATAACTGTCTATTGAACTTTGTTAACGCTGTATTACTTTACTTTGCGAGCCAAATTTAAGTATAATAAGGCGCCAAAGCTGACAGAATTAGCTAGGTCAGACGAAGCTTGTAAATAATAAATATTTTCATATATTTGTTCTATAGATCTTCATTTACCTCAATAAATATCCGTTAGTCCGTAACATACTTCAATGCATTATCTTGTCAGATTAATATACACAGTAAGCTTTAGTTTTATCCGATTAAACAATATAAGACAACAAATTATGCTAGTAAACAAACTTTGGTTACTTGTGTATTATATAGGTTAGTTAGGACAGGTAAACCTGGATCATTGCGCGAATATTTGAATAGGACACATGTATAGGATAAGCTTACATCGAAATAGCACCAATATGAAATTTTATTCCCAAAATTCATGTCGTCATTTTTTTATAACAAATTTCTACGATTTCTGAAAGTTATTAATAGCAATTCTTTAAACAGGTATATAAACTCGTCATTAATTACTATTTATTGCAAGGCTGGAATTTAATTAGATTGCTGATTCTGTCAATAAAATTGAACTCGGTTAGATTGTCTTCATGCAGCAACTTATAATAACTGCTTTGATTTATATCATTTGCAGTATTGAAAATAATGGAGTTAGCTCAAAGATATTGGTAAAACCCCTATAGACCAAATAAAAGATGGCAATTGATGATCGATAAACATGATCTTTACTTGACCTCTGTATGACAGTAATTTTCCTAAAAATGTTGTAAGTACGATTGATAAAACTTAAAATCAGTCATCTAATCGGTAATTTTCTTTCACCTTTGAACTGAGTACTCCTTACCAATGTACAACTCGATCAATTAAGTAATTTCGGCTAACAATTGTAGGCAAGTGAGGATAAAGGAACAAATCTTAAGCCTAAATTAGCTTCTTTTTATTCACATTTTATCTTACCTAAATAAATGGCATAAGAGTAAATATAAATCTTTATTCAAATATCGATTAGATCGATACAAAATTATGAGAAACAACTATTTGGAGAAATAGTTAGCTACGTTGATCCTCGTGTTCACAGCTAGTTCTTTTGAACATTTTATTTTCAACTTGATGCTATAGATTAGAATGATAATTAATGATCATCTATTTTAGGTAAATTAGGTACAATTTCTAGAGATACGCATATAGAAAGTTGCAATGTAGTATTAGCTCTCAAAAAATTTATCACCATTCTCAAACGCGTACAGCATCAATATTTCGAGTACTGAAGGTATATGCTAAGAAGAAAGTACCTTACATTATTACTGGACTAGTAATAAGATGAGTTTATTTTATCTTTGTATTCGTAATCAGAACCACTTGACCATCAGGGAAAGGTAATTGATTGCGAAACTTGTAATAAATTCTAGACACTAAGCTATAAATTCAAATTACTTATTTTATTATATGCAAACCTGATACGGTAGCCATTTTCTTAAGAAAATGGTTCATAAAATCATATAGGAATATAACTATGAGTGCTATATCAATCTATAGTTGCAATAGCACAAATTTCAATCCTTCAAATACAGCCAATCCATAAGACAGAAGCAAATTAGTAAGTTATCCAAATCAACAGTCTAGTATGTCGTTAAATGGAATATACGCGTATCCTACTAGAAATGATACTAAAGTTTTGAATTAATAATAGTAGTGGTATTAGGACTTTGCCTAAAAGAATAAACTAAAATAAATGATTCTCTAATAGTTTTCAATCTACAACATAAGCAACAGAACAAGAACACCACCGCAGTAAACTATTTTAGAAAACTTTGAAGTATTGAATTAACGATAGTAGCGGCATTTGGACGTCAATCTGAGAGAATTAGCTAATATAGGCGTTTCTCTGATATTTTTCAATCAGCAAATTACGCTATAAAACAAGAAAACTACGTCAATATAAGATTTTGGAAAACTTTAAAAGGATTAAATCAATGGTATTAGTGACATTAGGATGATAATCTGAGAGAATAAGCTAAATTAAGCGTTTCGCTAATAGTTTCCTATTTACAATACACGCAACAGAATTAAAAAAACTACGACGATGTAACATTTCAGAAAACTTTATAGGAATCTGGGCGTCAATTTAGCAGGGGAAAGTTAGCAAAGATGTTCTTCTATTTGGTGTAGTCTATAAGAATTCATAAAATCCATTGTTGAAAACCTACTTAAATTGACTTCAATGGACTTTTCTGTAGCACAATGAGATTAATATAATTTTTGTGGCTAATTAATTGTTAGTACTAAAACTTCTAATTAAGAAGTCTATGAATATACAGCCGTCGTAAACATACCTAACCACAAGATAGACTTTATTCGTACATTAGGCAATGCCAGTACAATTTTGTATAAGCAGCATGAGCAAATGAAATATTTAAGTGTGATTAATTTCTATTTACGCTGATAGAATTCAGGGTCGATCCAGTAGAAGTTACTTGAATCACAGACTCGTCTCTTTTGTCAAATTTACATAACGCTATTCGTCGAATTAGCGCAAGTGATTTTCGCCTCACCTTTAAATCGAATTTTATATATAGAAAGGGATTTAAAATAACAATTGATGTCGTTATCGTGACGGTGAAAAATGCAAACAAAAAATTGACCATACTCTTCTGACGAATTTGAAGCGTCGATTGGCCTGTTATTGCCATACCGAAGCCAGTAGCAAAGTAGGGCCAACTAAGTGTAATGTAAGAGACTGAAATCCAAGTGAGCATCTTTACAAATTGTTTCTTTTTCTGCTGGTTTCGTACGGCCTGACTTTGTAGTACTTCGCCAGGTCGAACGTACGATTTCTGATAAGTAATTATTTTCCCGTATAGAATTAAAATAATGATAGTTGGAATAATAAATACAATTGTTGCATGAAATATCATGAACACTGAAACTGATGGCGTAATATCTGGAATATCACAAAGTAATGTATCGTTCTGATGAACTCCTACAATGATAAGAACCGGTGCGTTGATACTAGCCGAAGCTAACCAAATTATAATTTCACCAATGACCAGAATAGAGGTCTTATTATGACGATAATATGATGATAGCGGTCTAACGATTATAAAATACCGATCGATGCCAATCAAGCATAGATTCATCATGGAGACTCCAAATGAGGTAAATAAAGAACATAGCACCACACGACACATCAATGTGCCACCACTGTAATTTAAATTGCGATTTACAATCTGAACATAACCAGTTAGTGATGCAACAGTCGATATGATATCGGATACAACAGAAATACGCATTAATTTATAAGATGTTTTTCGAAAGCTTTTATCGAAAAAGAAAAGGTATAAAATGATCAAATTGACTACTAGCCCAAATATGAAAATAGGAATTCCAACGATCGCAGCGTATCGATAAATTTGAGTTGCCCAATCCATATTCACATATTAATCTTGGAAATTATTGTTGATATTTCTCTCTAACCAACCGTAGAGTTTTCAGTTGAAATGATGATCGAAATGCTTACTGTTTTATTTGAATGATCCAATCTAGCGGTATGTGATGTAAGTACAAAAACTTAAACTGATTTCTACGCCTTATTACATGCATTTTATCAATGATAGAATTTACTATACAATATCGCTTAACATTATTCTGCATGATGAATATGTGACAAGCAATTCTTAATAAATACTAAGATATTACCTTGCATTACTATTAATAATGATTTAACGGAAAGAGTTGTCGCATCAATCACGTACATTCGCCATCCAGCCTCAAAATAGGAATGCAATGACAATAAATGATTAGCTGTCAAAAAAAACAAGGCTGAAATTGCAGCTGTACCTGGCATTTGTTATGTCTTTAAGGTCACATCGTACGTGTCTCTCAAACAATTATACATTGAGACATATCTATCAAGTTTAGCTATTTCCCATTACTTTATAGCAATATGTTCTGTTTACCAGATGTTATATTAAACTGTTCCAATCATCTCAGTAAATCAATACCATAGCCATACCTGGCACTTAAAGTGTGTCAATTAAATATGACAATAACTTAAAATTACTATTGCTCATAACCAATCAAGAAAATTGTGACTAAAAAATCTCAAACGCAGTCTTTTTATAGATAAAATTCAGTTGCAAAGTAGGTAAAACTAAGAAGTAAGTGACCGTCGGTAAGTAGTTTATTTCGTATAGACGATGTTAAAATTGCCTTATGACAAGATTAATATAACTTCACTTTATCACCTGATAGCACATATTACAGTGCGATATTTGACTTGGATATNT